TGGTGGCACATGCCTGTAATCCCAGCTACTCAGGAGGCTGAGGCAGGAGAATCTCTTGAACCCAGGAGGCAGAGGTTGTGATGAGCCAAGATCGTGCCATTGCACTCTAGCCTGGGCAACAAGAGCGAAACCCTGTCTCAGAAGAAAAAAAAAAAAAAAAATTCTGCAATTAACAGGTTCATTTTTGTCTGTTTGGCTGCTCTGTCATTTATACAGAACACAGTTAATCACTGCTCTCAATATATGAAAATCCAGAACTCCCAGGCCATCCTTCAACCCCATCCCCTCCACTAATCCTTGTAAGGTTCTGAGGCAGCAAAGCACCCTCACCCCATTCCTCTCCGTGTGGGTTTTTCTTCACAACCTCTATCTCCACAACCAGTTACCCTGAGTTTTTATTCAAAACCATCAAAACTGTGGCCTGTGAAATCCACACTGGCCCTTCCCTCTGTAGAGAGATTTTGTGAGTGCCACTATTCTTTGCATTGTTGCCACGTGGCAATCAGAGAGAGAGAGAGATATATATTTTTTGAGACGGAGTCCTGCTCTGTTGCCCAGGCTGGAGTACAGTGGCACGATCACAGCTCACTGCAACCTCTACCTCCCGAGTAGCTTGGACTACAGGTACACCACTATGTCCGGCTAATTTTTTGTAGTTTTAGTAGAGACAGGGTTTCACTGTTAGCCAGGATGACCTCGATCTCCCGACTTTGTGATCCACCCGCCTCAGCCTCCCAAAGTGCTGAGATTACAGGCATAAGCCACCATGCCCAGCATTTTTTTTTTTTTTTTTTTTTGACAGTCCTCCTCTGTCACCAGGCTGGAGTGCAGTGGCGCAATCTCAGCTCACTGCAACCTCTGCCTCTGGGTCTCAAGCGATTCTCCTGCCTCAGCCTCCTGGGTAGCTGGGATTACAAGCACATGCTACCACACCTGGCTAATTTTTGTATTTTTAGTAGAGACAGGGTTTCCCCATGTTGCCCAGGCTGGTCTTAAATTCCTGACCTCAAGTGATCCACATGCCTCGGCCTCCCAAAGTTCTGGGATCATAGGCGCAAGCCACTGCCCATCCACCAGCCACCGCCCATCCGCAATCAGAGATCTTCATCATATCACAAATGACTCTTTAGCCTTAGGGTATAGCCTCCCCTCTCTTTCATCCCCAAGTTCAGCTCTCTAGTCTATTTGCTTTTTCGTTCCAGAGAGGCTTCATTTTTCTTTTTGACTGTCAACAGCCAGGTCCTACTTTGTGTGTGTGTGTGTGTCAATTCTCACATTTAAGGACTTAAATTTTCCTGCATCAAGCAAAGGACCGAACAATCAACATTATTTAGTGGAAAAAAGTATCAACGAATATAAATTATTAAGTAATGTATGGGGGGCTTGGGGCCACTAAAGTAGATGCAGGGGCATTTTATAGTTTCAGAGATTAAAAAAAAAATCTGGCAAGTTTTGTCATTTGCCATGGTCAGTCACACAAAGCAGCTCACATCTACTACAGCAAATCTAGACCACCACCCCATACACCCAGAAACAGACACACAGAACTCAGAGGGACCGAAGCTTTGACCAAATTAAACAACAACAAAAATTTCCTTAAACATGGAGAACAAGGTAAGTGAGAGAGCTCTATATAAATATTAAAAAGTTTAACCTTTTCTGTGGACAATGCTGTTAGTATTCATATGAAATGCAGAAAATTACTGAAGTATGTGCTGTTCTTTGGAATAGATGATCAGTAATAGCAATGTTCCAAAGAGCAGTTGAGCCTTAATACTAATGTTAAAAAGCACACAAACCTAACTGCCTTCAACTTTTTCAAGGAAAAGCACAATATGTCTCCCGATATGTTTAGGTTTCATTAGCAACTTTTAGGAATTTTAGTCTGCCTTTTTAGTATCCCAGTATGCACACAAGGTGGAAATGTAAAGTGTTTCTTTAAAATATCCATTGTAAAGAAAGTCAGCCAAGAAGTTATATAAAAATTGTGGAAATTTTCACTGTACCTGAAACTTCCTGTTAAATCAGATGCTCCTGGTCTCAGCAATATCTGAGTTAAAAAATTGGCCCCACGGCTGCCAAATAAAACAATCAGATTTTCTTTACAAAATACAATTTATAAACAAGAGAAACACATTGAAGAACAGTGTTAAAATGCTATACTAATTTCATAAATGTAACATTAATTTCATCAAAATGTTATTTATCTAGAACAAAAGAGAAATTTTTGGTCAATGAAAGGAGACCTGGCTAGGTGCGGTGGCTCACACCTGTAATCCCAGGAGGCCAAGATGGGTGGATCACTTGAGCCCAGGAGTGACCAGCCTGGACAACATAGCAAAACCCCATCACTACCAAAAAAAAAAACACCAGTATACATATATATATATATATATAAAAATACATATATAAACATAAATACATATATATACACACATAAATATATATACATAAATTAGCTGGGCATGGTGGTGCGTGCCTGTAGTCCCAGCTAATGGGAAGCTGAGGCAGGCGGATCACCGGAGCTCAGGAGTTCGAGGGCAACCTGGGCAACATGGTGAAACCCCATCTCTACAAAAACAAAAATTAGCCGGGCATGGTGGCGCGTGTCCACAGTCCCAGGTACTCAGGAGGCTGAGAAAGGAGAATCGCTTGAGCCCGGGAGGCAGAGGTTGCAGTGAGCTGAGACTTTAACCCAGGTCTGTCTGAAATCGATCTTAATTAAAATAACACTATAATTATGGAGAGAAACCCTACATATTTAGTCTACAAGTATGGAACAGGTCACATAAATTAAAACTGGAGGTCCAGTATAGTAACTTTTGCTGAATGAGGCCGTTTCTACCAAAGGTCCAAAGGTTTATACTGATTTTTCCTTAATAAAAAACATCCAGGCTCTAATCACAGGAAAAACTGTAAGAAACTATCTGGGAATATTTACCGGAAATTATAACCTGATCCCACAAATCCCAGGCAGCACGATAGCTAATCCAAATACTTGCTATGAATACACTTCCAGTAGTTATACTAATAAAGAAGTTGTAACACATGTACCTACCTGATTATTTTTCTTTTCAAATCCCAGCCATATACACCTCCATTTCCTTTGTAGCGAGTTCCAGAGACAATATCAAAATTGCCCTCCTTTTGCTTCCTGTAGAATAAATTAGCTGTCAATTAGAAAAAGCCATTTCAACGTCATTTTCATGAGCTACACAAAACTTTTAAGAGAAGCCAACACAGGCTGGGTGCAGTGGCTCACACCTGTAATCCCGGCACTTTGGGAGGCCGGGGCGGGTGGGTCACAAGGTCAGGAGTTCAAGGCCAGCTTGGCCAAGATGGTGAAACCCCATCTCTACTAAAAATATAAAAATTAGCCTGGCGTGGTGGCGGGTGCCTGTAATCCCAGCTACTCAGAAGGCTGAGGCAGAGAATCGCTTGAACCCAGGAGGCAGGGTGCAGTGAGCCGAGATCATACCACTGCACTCCAGCCTGGGCGACTCCATCTCAAAAAAAAAAAAAAAAAAGTCGGGCACAGTGGCACATGCCTTTAGTCTCAGCTATTTGGGAGGCTGCAACGGGAGGATCGCTTGAGCCAGGGAAGTTGAGGCTGCAGCGATCTGTGATTGTGCCACTGTACTCCAGCCTGGGTGACAATGGAAGACCTTGTCTCTCAATTTTCCCAATACCCTTCCATTCTGTTCTTGCCTTCTCTGAAGCAAATAGTACTAAAAAACAGCCTGATGTCCTGCCACACTTTTCTTTGCCTACAGAAAGATAAAGACACACATATACCCTTAGGATTTTTGTCTGCATTTACAAAATTGGAATGCAAAAAAAGTACATTTTGTGACCTGGCCTTTGTCAGTTAACGATACAAATCATGGAGTCAGATGTGGTGGCTCACGCCTATAATCCCAGCACTTTGGGAGGTGGGTGGATCACTTGAGGTCAGGAGTTCGAGACTAGCCTGGCCAACATAGTGAAACTATCTCTACTAAAAATACAAAAATTAGCCAGGCTTAGTGGCACGTGCCTGTATTCCCAGCTTCTCAGAAGGCTGAGACAGGAGAACTGCTTAAACCTGGGAGGTGGAGGTTGCAGTGACTGAGATTGTGCCACTGCACTCCAGCCTGGATGACAGATCGAGCTTCCATCATAAAACAAAAACAATGCAAATCATGGAATCATAGACATCCCTATAGGTCAAGAGAGCTCTTTCCCATTCTTTTTAATAGTTGCAAAACTACTTCATAGAATATTCAACTCACACACCTCTGTGGTTGTCTTCATGGTGCCCCACCCTCTCAATCACAATAAACAGTGCTACAATAAACCTTTCTTTCTTCTTTTTCTTTGAGATGGAGTCTCACTCTGTTGCCAGATTAGAGTGCAATGGCGAGATCTTGGCTCACTGCAACCTCCACCTCCCGGGTTCAAGTGATTCTCCTGCCTCAGCCTCCCAAGTAGCTGGGACTACAGGCAAGTGCCACCATGCCTGGCTAATTTTTTGTTTTTCTAGTAGAGACGGGGTTTCACCATTTGGCCAGGATGATCTCTATCTCTTGACCTCATGATCCACCTGCCTCGGCCTCCCAAAGTGTGGGATTACAGGCATGAGCCACTGTGCCTGGCCACAATAAACATTTTTATAAACTGCTTAGACTCCCCAAAATGGAATATACTGGAATTGCCCAAATGAAGCCTGAGTATTTTTAATTCTAACACGTGTTTTCCCAAATTCGAACACATATTTTCCAAAAGGGTTATAGCAACTTATATTTGTATGTCCATTTTTTACCATCTTACTGGTACTGGATATTACTGCTCTGAAAGTTTTTAACTTTGTTAAACTAATGGATAATAAAATGGTAACACGCAGTTATTTTGTGTTTATTTCCTTGACTACATCCCAGGAAGAACGTCTTCTTTTATTAGCCATTTGGATTTCTCCTATAGACGGTCTGTTTGTATCTTTTTGCCCATTTTCTACTCTACAGGTTAAAGAGGCTTTTGCGCACTGGAGATATAAGCAAAAAAGGTATAAGGTGACTTTATGCAGAGATCGAAGGATGAGCAGCAGATGGTCATCAAGGAGCATGGAAACAGCATTTCAGGCAGAGAAGCATGCTTATGGCATGGAAAGGAAAGGAAGGAGCACAAGACAGAGGAAGGAGCACAAGACAGAGGTCAGAAAGGGAGGCAGAGGCCAACAAACACATAGGGGCTTGAGGGACAAGGGAATGAGCTTGAATTTTTCCCTAGATGTTAGCGGGAACTCCCTGAACTATTCTAAACTGGAGGGCCAATAATCTGATTGTTTTTGTGTATCTAGCTTAAACTCAGAACAGCTTCCAAAATCTTATTCACAGAGGTTTTGTGATCTTTGGGCTAAGAATATAATTATATTGCCTACAAATAAATTATGTATACTTTACTAATATTTAACTAAATTCTTGTGTTACTGTATTAACATTTCCATGTTTAATGATAGCTAGCATGCCTATCTTAATGAATTTACTGGAAATGATTCAGCATTTCACTATTTGGTGTGATATTTGTATTAGGACTGGGTTATTTTTATTATGCTTAAGAGGTTTCCTTCTATTCTTAAAGTTTTAACTAGAAAATGGTAGTAAATAATATCTCCTTTAGCATCTACAGAGTTAACCACACTACTCTGTTCAAAGATAATGAATGAATTATGAGTGATTACCAATAATGAGCCATTCTGGCATTCCTGGAATAAACTCTTTTGCTCATGGTGTTTTACTCTAATAACTCAAGGCTTAATTCCATTTATCAAAGAAGCCGTCTTCCACCTTTTTCTGTGGTCTGAAAGAATTCAGATTAACAAAGGAACTACCTATTGATTTGCTCCTCAGGACTCCTAAAGTACATCATTTAGTCTCAAATGTGTGTTGTATGTGTGTGTGTCTACTATCTATACAGATAAATATTTTAGAGACAAGGTCTCACTCTGTCTCAGGGTCACCAAGACTAGAATGCAGAGGCAAGATGATAGCTCACTGCAGCCTTCAAGTCCTGGGCTCATGTGATCCTCCCACCTGAGCCTCCTGAGTAGCTGGACTACAGGCGCATGCCATTGTGCCTGGCTAATTTTGGTTATTTTTTTTGTAGAGATAAGGACTTGTTTTGTTGCCCAGGCTGGTCTCAAACTCCTGACTTCAAGCAACCCTCTTGCCTTGACCTCCCAAGCTTTGTTTATATTTTTGATAGAAAAAAAAGTACGTATATTTTTGATTAATAAAAAATGAAAATAAGCCCAAAACCAGTAAGATAAACGGTTCCAGTCATATTTCTTTCAAATATTAGAAATAGTACCTACCTAATAAATTCAGGAATAAATTTTGGCTGAAATTTGGAAAGAATAAACAGTAAAGTCAGTAAAATAGGCTAAGATTATCATAAATAGCTAATAAAGAAACATACCACTTACATGGTGTGAGAGATCAGCATCCATAATAATTATGTAGTTTCCTGTGGCATGTTTCATTCCATGAATATATGCAGTTCCTAAAAATGAAAGTATATCCATTCAAGAAAGTCAACAGAAATCTTAACATATACATTTGAACATGGAGGAAACTGTTTAGCACCTGAAGAGCATACATTAGTCCTCTAAAAGTGGTATTAATAAATCGGTATTTTTCACCTTAAGTACACAGGTTCATGTATATTACATATATAATCAAGAAGGTAGCTGGCCACATACCCCCATTCAGATGTCAATTTAATAGAAGAGATCATACCTCTATTTCAGTTGAGCAAATAGTTTATAAGTTCAAAAGTCTGAGATTAGGTAGCAATTATCACATTCTCATGCTTTAGAAACCCATCTGGTGTTTCCTTAGCATCCCCCTAAGAGACTGATGAAGTCAGACCCTTCCCTAGAGCTCCACATTTACAAATCAGCTTCCTACTTAACATCTCCTTGTGGGTATTTCAGAAATCTCAAAGATAACATCGCAAAATCATCTTCCAATTCTCTACCTCTCTCTTACAGGCCACCTCTCCAGGAAATGGCACCAACTATCCAATTGCTCCATCCACAGGTCTAGAGATGACTCTTGATTTCCTACTTTTAACCATAACTTCTAAACTATAATTAAGTCCTATTGATTCACCACCCAAAACATTTCAATTCCCTTTTTCTTGTCGATCGTCACTTAGTTCCAGGTGCTACCTTCTGATGCTTAGATGACTACCTAACAAGCCTCCCTGCTTCTGCTCTTCCTAGCTCTAAGTCCACTTCCACAAAAGCCACACACTGTCTTTTACACCGTATGCCTGGTACGCTAGACCCCTGCTCTGGTATTTGGGGCCAAAGGCCTTGCTGACAATTACTTAGCCAGCTCCATGCCTCAAAGTCCCACAGGGACTTGGCAGGCTAGGGTAACTGGTCAGGAGCAGGACTTGGGGATTCCTGCATTCTCTAGTCCAGACACCTCACAGGTGTTTTATAAGCAAGGCTGAACTCTTCTAACTTATTTTGTTAAGAAGTGAATATCGGCTGGGTGTGGTGGCTCATGCCTGTAATCCCACCACTTTGGGAGGCTGAGATGGGTGGTCACTTGAGGTCAGGGAGTTCAAGACCAGCCCAACCAACATGGTGAAACCTCATCTCTACTAAAAATACAAAAAATTGGCCAGGTGCGGTGGCTCACGTGTGTAATCCCAGCACTTTAGGAGGCTGAGGCAGGTGGATCACCTGAGGTCGGGAGTTTAAGACCAGCCTGACCAACATGGAGAAACCCTTACCTCTGACTGGGAATTTCCCACAGTTCTAGCTCCTGCCAGGCAGCCCCCACCCCATCATTCTAGCTCCCTCTGGGCAGCCCAGGTTCTCAGGCTCTTAAAACATCTCTTCCTGCTGTTGCTCCATCCCTAGGGGTGGCAGTGACCTCCAGCTGTTACTAATCTTAGTAGCCTCACTGCTCCATTTGGTTTCTCAGGAACTCCTTCACCAGTGTAACCAGCGACTCAGTATTAAATTCCCTACACCGAAAGACTTACAGTGGTTTCTATTGTCCTGAGTGGGCCTTGACTTATACAGGCAACCCAAGTTATACCATTTAAATGTCATTAAGATCATTAAAAACCATCACAGTAAGTTACTGTATTTTGGCCCTATTCCAAACTGGGCAAATACACACTGGATCATGTCACCAGGCAAGTAGCAGGTATGAGGGGTTAGAGGTTCCGCGACTTACCTAGTCCCAACTTTTTCTCCCGTGGTTTTAGAAGCTGTAAAATAAGAAACAGCATTTTACACAAAGAAACAGAAATGTTATCATGTTAAATTTTATTTTATTCAAAAGTGCATACTCATTTTAATAGAAATATAGTTGCACTTGTTAGAACTTAAAGCAGAGTATGGTTAATGTTTTTTTGCCAAAAGGAAAAAAAAAGCATTTGGTAACAAATCAAATAGTTTAACATAGCTTCTGAGGCAAAGCAGCATTCTTTAACCCCGACCCTACAATCAAAATTAAAATTTTTTTTTTTTCTGGTGTCACTCACTCTATTTTAAATAACATGTCCTTACATCTATACTTGAATTTCCTTTTAAACCTATTTATTTCCTTCCTAGAAAAATGTAGGACTTACCTCATTATTTCACACCTTCTTGGGAAATGTGATGTTTGTTCTCTCAATTCCCTTTGGGTTTTGAATACTAATATCACTCTTCCTCTATTAACTTATCTTGACCTTATGCTTGGATGACCTCATCTCCTCTACTGGTCCAAGGACATGTCATATTCCTAATTAAATTCTTTCTCTTTTTATTTGTCAATTATTTAGTCCTTCTTAATATTTTTGCTTAATAATTGGAGCCTGACTTTATTTGTTTAGTTTTTCCTTTTGGCTGGACACTTAAAAAGTCGAATGCCAAAGTTCTCACTGTGCCCTATGTTTCTGAGGTATGGGGTTCAGGTAGACTCATTAGTGAGCATGTCTTGTCTATCTTGTCCTCTTCTACACTTGCCAGTATGTAAGCAGGTTGCCTCTGACTGCAAATCTCTCAACAAAGCATTTTCAATTAAAGCAGGATGAATTTTTTTTTTTCACTACATGCAATCTGCTGGAGGTTTTTATTTGCATGGAATGTTTTTTTCCATCCCTTCACTTTGAGTCTATGTGTGTCCTTACAACTCAAGTCTTTTGTGGGAAGCATATAGTTGGTTCTTTTTAAAAAAATCCATTCAGTCACTCCAGGTCTTTGGAGAATTTAATCCCTTTATATCCAAGGTAATTACTAACATGTAAGAACTTCCTACTGCCATTTTGTTAACTGCTTCTAGTTGGTTTGTAGATCTTTTGCTTCTGTCCCTTTCTCCTTTCCTTTATGATTATTTTCTGTACTATCATGCTTTGATTCCTTACTTTTTATCTTTTGTGAATCTACTTTAGGCTTTTCCTTTATGATTACCAAGAGACTTACAAAACCCATCTTATAGTGATAACAGGCTATTTTAAGCTGATAACAATCTAACTCTAACTGCTAAAAAAAAATCCTCTACACTTACTGCACTGTCCTCATATTTAAAAATGTTTAAGTCATAAAACCCTATTGTTGACATGGACTCTAGGATTGCGCTGTTATCCCTAGGGTAACTTGTTCCGTTGGTCAAGTTACTGGGTCAATTGTGTGTTGCGCTTTGGCTGGTGTAGTCTTGGCATAGGTTGTTCGGAGGTTGGTGACTATAGTTAATAGTATCATATTATATACTTGAAATTTACAGAGAGCAGATCTTAACCGTCCTCATCACTGTCAACTCGCCCCCAAGGGTAACTAAGTGAGGTGATGGACAGATTCATTCTCCAAATGTGGTATTCATTTCAGAATGTATACGTGTATCAAACCATCGCATTATATACTTTAAATATATGTAACTTTGTCAATTTTACCTCAATAAAGCTGGAAGAAAATATGACAAAATATCACTGACTTTATCTGATCTCAAGTTGGGGGATGAAACAAACTACATAAACCAAACATAATAGAAGCACTCAACATAGGGCAGTTGAAGTCCTTCACAATTTCAGATCTCTGCCTTGTAAGCATTGTGAATAGTTCAGAGTAAGTGCCCCAAATTTCTCTATGGTCCTACCTAGTTAGGTCATTAAAAATGACCTAACCTCTTGCTTCAGTTGTGTCACTTACAGAATTTTAAAAAATATCTTCTTTGGCTTCTTTTCTGAAAGATTCATTTCAGCCAGTTTGAAAGGCTGACAAAGCATCTGTGGTGAATACTTTATCTGAGGTATTCTAACATGGTTTCCATAATCCCTCATCTTCCCAACTAAACATACGTATGTCACTGAAAGCAAGTGTCATCCCTAGCATGGATTAATACTGTTTTTCTTTTTTTAAAGTCACTTTCTTTTTAACTTATTTAAGTGTCATAAAACAATGAATGAATAAGGAATTTTATCTGGTAGTAGAGGGAAATCACAACAGTGAATGCAAATTCTTTTCTCATTTTGAATTTTATCGGGTTGATAGGAAAAATGTCTTTGAAGACAACCTTGTTTCAAAATTTGAAAGGTTTAGTAACCATTCCCTAAAATCAATCAATCACATCCTAAGACTGAGGTTTTATGACAAAAGTATTCAAAATGTTGTCTAGTGGATGGTCCCAGATTAAATGGCAGCACATAACTCAGAATGTTGTGAATCAGTGGCCTTCACCCTGGGCTTCTAAAAGAAAACCTGGGGAGCTACTGGCCAGAAATTCGAACCTAGCATTACCGAAAGTCTCTGCTAGAAGCCTGAAAATTTGTCAACTTTTTACCTCCTTCTGTATTCCTATCCATTAGAAGATTTTCAGAGAAGACTTGAGGTGTGACAGACCTGAGTTACTCGTCTGTGAGACAGACTGAAAGAATTTCTAGTATAGATTTACCATGTAGTGAGTAACACAGTTCCTTTAGAACTTTTGCCACTAAGACCTCATACAACTGACACTGACCTCTAAGTAGAAAGTATTTCTATTACTGAGATTTATCAAGACCAGATGACTGTTTTTTAAAAATGATGATTAATTTACCATTTCTTGAATTGTAAATAACAATAAAGGTTCTCAAAGGGACTTCTTTCTCTATACCAATGGTTCTGTACTGGAGGCAAAGGATAATTTTTCACCTAAGGAAATATCTGACAATATCCAAACATTTGCGGTTGCCAAGTGGGGAGGAGGGTTTCTAATGACATCTAGTGAGGAGAGTCCAGATATGGTGCTGAACATCCTACAACGCACAGGACAACCCCCACAGTAAAGAATTAATCTGTCCACACGTCAATAGTGCCAAGACTGAAAAACTCTGGTCTGCAATTATTTATGAATATAAATTATAAAAGCACTCACAAGCATACACAAACACTTATAAATCCAAACCAGTGACCAAAAATAAAATTCATGAAGCCATTATAAAATAAACTCTGTATTTGCCTAAGTAACTTCTATATTAGAATAACAAGTTTCAAGGTGCAGTGGGAAAATCTAAAGTTTAGAACTAAGGAAGTCAATCTACTTCCACAAGACTATTCTATAGACTAAAAATGCCAAGTACTCTGAGAAGGCATTAATGTTTCACAAGAAAACAATAACTTTTTCTACCTACAAGCTCTTAATTTCAGGCAGTATTCTCTAATGAAAATATGAGAATACTTACCGAAAGGGAACAAGAAAGATTAAAAAACACACACTACCAATTACAACCCAATTCTATAATATTCCTTGTCAATTCAGTATCATGCTTTAATTTTTGCCCTTCAAGAATATTTACCTGCAGAATTAGTCATAAACAGAGTTTATCCAAAAGCACACTCTTTGCTGTAAAATGACCGTTGACCCAACATACCAAAGATACGTAAAATTTTACGGACAACGAAAATGCATTTAAATCCCAACTGTGTTAAGTTGCTCTTTATCTTATCAGTTTCTAAACAAATAGGTTGAATTTAAGCATTGTTCATGTCTCATCTTTCCCCTACATAATCACAATTCATATGACAGAAAAATGTTCGTATAACTTACAATTCTGTCTGACCCATAGATCTTCTCCAACTGTTCAGCAACATCCCTTGTTCCATCTGGGCTTCCATCATCTATGATTATAATTTCATAGTTGATTCCACTAAAAAAAATTAAATTTGTATTAATAATTGATGACAGTGTTCTCAAATTTAAAAGTAATTTAAAAATTACTAATTCCTTAAACGTTTAAGTGGAGATTTATTGCTATATTGATCATTGAGGAAAACTTCAATTATCAAATGAAATAAATGTCAAACATTTAGTACTTTACCTGCAAACCCAGTATGTTGCTGAAACATGCTAATGTCCTGAGATATTAAAGAATTCTTACCCAGAGAACATACATTTTAGTTCAAAAGAAAATCAGGTAATGACCCATGTATCACATGAAATTTTTTTTTGAGATGGAGTCTCAAATTTTTTTTTGACATGGAGCCTTGCTCTGTCGCCAGACTGGAGTGCAGTGGCACAATCTCGGCTTACCTCTGTCTCCTGGCCTCAAGCGATTCTCCTGCCTCAGCCTCCCAAGTAGCTGGGACTACAGGCACCCGCCACCATGCCAGGCTAATTTTTTGTATTTTTAGTAGAGACGGGGTTTCACCGTGTTAGCCAGGATGATCTCGATCTCCTGATCTCGTGATCTGCCCGCCTCAGCCTTCCAAAGTACTAGGATTACAGACATGAGCCTCCGTGCCTAGCTATATGAAATTTTATTACCTACTTCGGAAATAGAATTCTGAACCTTAATAGCAAATCTTAGTTACATAAAATATTTCAAAAGTACTTTACACGTTAACTCAAACCAAACTGAGTAACTCTGAGTGATTATTCTTGTTAATTTGATCCAAATAGAATAATCAAATATAAATCTGATTTAATTTCACCTTTTAAAAAAACCTATTTTAGAATGGTGACACAATCTTAAACCACAATTTCAAATAGTTGTGCCTATTACTTCACATTATCAAATTAAAAAAACAAAAGCAGAGTAGCATTACAAAAGATTCCACTGCGCTTCAGAATTAACGTTACTTCCCATTAACCTCAGGTGGTACGTTTCTAGTCTAAAAACAAACCAACACAATACTTGGTGGATAAATACTACACGGCTGTACATGCAGTCACCCCTACTCCTTCCCTTTTCAAAGACATTTTAAAAATTAATTTTATAAGGAAAAGTTAAGGAGAAAGAAGAAGAGACACAGCCCAATACCTACGACATAACATTCCGTTTTCTCTTGGTCCTGCTCTAAGAAACATATGCAAGAAAATCAACCAGAAAACATATTCCACTGTTAAAAGGCTTTAACAAGTCAGCCCCAGCAAACTTTTAAGACAAGAAAGCAAAACCCTGTGTTATCTATTCTCCAAGAGTAGACACAATGACTTTGGCTTCCCACTGTGCCTTAAATTTGGGCGCTGGTGCCTTTACATGCCAAAATATGTAAGGTGATTTTAATAGACGTGCGGAAAGAGAAATTCCATAAACAAAATGGGGTCGTTAAAAGCAAATTACTGTCCCCTACCACTTCAAAGCAGCTACACCACCTGAGGGTGAGGCAGCTTAAAGATACCAAGCTGGGCTAACTTCAGGTAATTTGATTGCATCTGACAAGAAAAGTTTTGTTTCCTTTATCAAACTTCATTTTGATCTTAAAAGATTCATTCACAAACCATTAAAAGTAAAGATAAACTGTACTACATAAAAAAATTAAGGCAACAAAAAAATTTGCAAAATTAGAATACAAGCCCTGAACGAGATCGGTTGTATGACAGTTAATTTCTTTAATTTACAGCTTATAAAAATAAAAATTAAAATAGTAAACAGGAAAAACAAAAACTTTAAAACTTTGAGGGGCAAGGCATGTGCAGGCAGTTATGCAAGGAAATACAATCAAAACAGCAATGGTTTTCACAAATGGGTACTTCCAGCAATGTCAAGTTTAATAATGCTCAGGCTGGCTGGCTGATGGGAAAACAGGCACTCTGAAGAATGGAGAATCCTAACTTGTACAATCTTTTTTTTTCTTTAGAGCAATTGTGAAGAATGGAGAGTCCTAACTTGTACAACCCTTTTTTTCTTTAGAACAATTTGGCAATAACTGTCCATTTTAAGCACATTTCTGTCTACCTAGCAATCCTACCTCGAATCATTTATCCCCAGTACACAAGTAAAAGTATGAGTGTGTCTGCTGCCAACATTGATGCAATAAAGGAGCACCGCTATGTGTCAAGCACTTTTCTAAATTTAGCTGGAAAATATGGTGTGAACAAAGTCCTTGTTCCTATTTGCAAAGCAAAAGTCAAAAAACAAAAACAACCTAAAGCCGCTGGAAATAATCCAGCTCATTGCCATGACCTGGTTAAATAACACAGCCATATGGAATGTTACCTAACTTCCAAAGTAATTTGCTATGTTTCGATATATTAATATGAAAAAAAGTATTCAAAGATTTCACAGCATGATCCCATTTGTGCAATCGTAAAACAAGTTACTCCGTACTGACTCCAGGACTTTTTGCAGTTTTTAAAAACACTGCATTAACACACTTTCAAATTCGAACTCCACCCACCCCCCATCCCGGTTCTAACAATCACACCAAACATCCATCAGTGATCAGCGAAGATGCCCTTCTGCTCTCTCCTTTCCAGAAAGGTTATCGTGCCCAGCAATAGCTCCCTAACCCACACACACCAAACCTCATGCTTATATAAGCACTCGGCACCGGAGTAGAGAGTGAACGCTCTCGCTTGGACTCCTGGCTCTTGCCGCAGATCCTGACCGCCTAGAGGGAGGAGTGGGGTCACGCTTTCAGCCTCGCTTCCAAGTAAAAGAGTGGCCAACCTTTCCACGAAAAGGCGGGGGACGCGAGTACTTCATAATAAATGAGTGTCTCACAAAACCCAAGGGCAGGAATGAGAACCCAGGACACGAAGAAAACCCAAGAAGCATCTGTCTCTGCTTCCCTCACAGGGTGGCCCTATCCCTGGGCCTTCCTGCGTGAGGCAAAGAAGGTTGGACAGGGCCGCCTCGCGCAGCCAGCTGCAGACACCCGGGCCGGGGAAGCCAGCTCATCTCATTCCTCGGGGAGGGAGACCTGGTGCGCTACCTCTCGGAGAAGCTTTTCACCAGCAACCACACGATGAGTGGCAGGTTCTCGCGCTCGTTGTAGGTGGGTAAAAGCACCGAATATTTGTCCCGTCGTGGACTGCGCACTTCCAGCTGCCGCCAGGACCTGGGAGGACTACGTCTGACTTCCAAGGAGGCCATGGCGGAACTGAGCCAGACGCCGGAAGCGGAATTACGTAAATGCGGCGCGGAAAAGGACGGGTCGGACCGTACCAAATTCGGAAGCGGGGGATGATCTGTGTGATTGAGCGCTAGTTCTTCTAGAGCTATTGTGTGGTTCAATTACAAATATTCAGGATTTATGCATCTTTAAAGCTTAATCTGAAGATTTCTTCAGGAAGTAAATATCTATTATCATCTTTTCCCAAGCTCCATAAAGTTTTTTAGTTTATCCCAGTCGCTAGGAAACAGAAGCCGGAAGCGGAAATGCCTTTTACGACAACTTCCGGAAGAGGTCGCCATGGCTTCCCGGGAGGAGGTACTCGCGTTACAGGCTGAAGTTTCGCAACGTGAGGAGGAATTGAATTCCCTGAAGCAGAAACTGGCGTCGGCCCTTTTGGCGGAGCAGGAGCCGCGGCCAGAACGGCTGGTTCCTGTGTCGCCGCTGCCGCCGAAGGCCACTCTTTCCCGAGATGAGATTCTGCGCTATAGCCGGCAGCTAGTGCTGCCGGAGCTGGGCGTGCACGGACAGCTGCGCCTGGCGACCGCGTCCGTGCTAGTCGTGGGCTGCGGTGGGCTTGGCTGTCCACTGGCGCAGTACTTGGCAGCGGCCGGCGTGGGTCGCCTTGGCCTTGTGGACTATGACGTGGTAGAGATGAGCAACCTCGCCCGCCAAGTGCTGCATGGAGAGGCACTGGCTGGCCAGGCCAAGGCCTTGTCGGCCGCCGCCTCGCTGCGCCGCCTCAATTCGGCAGTGGAATGCGTGCCGTACACTCAGGCCCTTACGCCAGCCACTGCCCTAGACCTGGTCCGCCGATATGATGTGGTGGCCGACTGTTCGGACAACGTGCCCACTCGCTACCTGATTAATGACGCATGTGTGCTGGCGGGTCGGCCCCTCGTGTCTGCCAGTGCCTTGCGCTTCGAGGGCCAAATCACAGTCTACCATTATGACGGTGGGCCTTGCTATCGCTGCATATTCCCCCAACCACCCCCAGCGGAGACAGTGACCAACTGCGCGGACGGCGGGGTGTTTGGTGTTGTAACTGGAATCCTGGGCTGCCTGCAGGCCTTGGAAGTGCTGAAAATCGCTGCGGGTCTGGGCCCCTCTTACAGTGGCAGTCTGTTGCTCTTTGATGCCCTGCGAGGGCATTTCCGCTGTATTCGGCTGCGGAGCCGCAGGCTCGACTGTGCAGTTTGCGGGGAACGGCCCACTGTGACTGATCTGCTGGACTATGAAGCCTTCTGTGGCTCCTCAGCCACTGATAAATGCCGCTCCCTGCAGTTACTGAGCCCAGAGGAGCGTATTTCTGTCACCGACTATAAGCGAGTTCTGGATTCTGGGGCATCCCACCTGTTGCTGGACGTCAGGCCTCAGGTGGAGGTGGACATTTGTCGTTTGCCTCATGCCCTACACATCCCTCTGAAACATTTGGAACGCAGGGATGGGGAGAGCCTGAAACTCTTAAAAGAAGCAATCTGGGAAGGGAAGCAGGGCACACAAGAAGAGGCTGCTGTCCCCATTTATGTGATTTGCAAACTGGGAAATGACTCACAGAAAGCCGTGAAGGTCCTCCAGTCCTTAGCAGCAGCTCAAGAGTTAGACTCTTTAACAGTTCGGGATGTTAAGGGGGGCCTCATGGCCTGGGCTGCCAAAATCGATGGAACATTTCCGCAGTACTAAGGTGACCGGTATAGTCTGATGGGAAAGATGTGGATTGCCGTAATGCCTCAAAGATACATTTATTTGAATTTTTCAGTAATATGCATAGGAGCTGGGGATTCTACAGTATCTGTGAATACATGGACTCCTTTTTTATAAGGAGTTTTAAAAATTGTTTTGTATTGTATGACTTATTAATGGTTTATACTGTTTCTGAGAACCATCATTTTTTTTTCCAGCACACGGAGGGTGTCTTGGACATGTGAGATGTAACGTGACAGGAATTTGTATTTTAAACTGCAGATCATTTACCTGTCCTTATTTTCCACCTCCCCCATCAAAGTGCTTTCTAAATCATTTTCACAGATTATATACTTAGGATCTGTTTACTGTTTAGTTAAGAAATTCTTGGATCTTATTAATATTTCAGATGATAGAATACATCCTACAGAAATACATGTTTAAAATGTAAATTGTTTTAATTATTCAGAAAGGGGGTCCTTTTATTTGGCAGTTTGAATTAGTATCAAAATGAGATTTTTTTTTTTTTTTTTTTGAGACAGAGTCTTGCTCTATTGCCCAGGCTGGAGTGCAGTGGTGCGATCTCGGCTCACTGCAACCTCTGCCTCCCAGGTTCAAGTGATTCTCCTGCCTCAGCCTCCTGAGTAGCTGGGATTACAGGCACACACCACCACCCCCAGCTAATTTTTGTATTTTTAGTACAGAGGGGTTTCACCAGGTTTGTCAGGCTGGTCTCGAACCCCTTATCTCGTGATCCGCCTGCCTTGGCCTCCCAAAGTGCTGGGATTACAGGCGTGAAGCACCACGCGCACCATAGATCTTTAAAGTTTACCAAAATAAAGGAAACCACCTTTGTAGTCTGTCAGTGCCTCTTATAAATTGCTACTGTTTTCTTAAAGTTGGTTTCACGGTCCACCTTATGTTGCACACATATAACATTGTGTAAATTGCATACTATGGTTTGACTTGCTTTGGAATCTTCAAGTCGAAGTCCCAACCCTTTGCCTCTCCCCCTTTAATTTGCCTTTTCTCTTTTGATTTAATCTTTTTTTATTCCACCATTTTATACTAATGTAAAATGTGTTTTTGTGTTTGTTTACTTAACATTTTCACAAAATAGTAGGTAGTCTCCCCAACTTCCAATATAGACAACAACATTATAAGTAAAAATTTGATTTGTGAGTGCCTATCAGTGGCCGGCTGAACTGATGGCCTGTCAAAAGGGGGCCTGTTCCTTCACTGCTTGCTGCGTGCAGGCTCATAATCATCAGTTGCTGCTGTTGTTGTTTTTAAAGAATGGCAGAAATCACAGATATAACTACAAAATCTTTGTATCTCTGTTAACCTTTTTTTTTTTTTAAAGCTTAAATGCATCATAGGCCAGAAAAACCCTCTGCAGACCAGATTTACTTACCAGTTTGCAATTTGTGATATAGAATCTTGTTTTAAGAGGGTGGTATTTAACAAATTCAAAATTAGTGATCACTTTTTAACTGTGAAACATTGTAACTAATTCTTTGAACAGGTATACCTAAAGTATGGTATGCCCTTCTTTTATAAAGATGAAGCAGGTCTCTTATGACTGTTCCTCCCAACAACTTATGGAAGTAAATGACTGAGACCTGGAGTGGAGAACGAAGATGGCTGGCCTGTGTTTTTCATTTCCTTCCAGGGACAACTGATTCTGATACATATCAGGAAACAAATAGCGAGACACAGAAATGATTTCATATTCTAAAGACTGATGTCCTAAAGTTATAGACAGTTGTAGTTCCTATAAACCTGGTTGTCACTGGGGACAGGCAAGAGCTGATTGACTAAATGGGAAAAGGATTTACTAAAGTGATAGGAGGTGCTTTGAGAATTTTGGGAATAGATTCAAGCCTATACTTCTAGGAATGATGCCCGAAATCATGCACAAAACTGGCCTTAGGAGAATAGTGTCTATGTTGTACTACTCTATCAAGTACCGGAGGAAACTGCCACTACAGTCTCACCAGTTTCACTTCACGTGGCCCCCCTGCTGTCCCAGAAAGCCCAACACTTCAGCCACAGTCCATGTGTCAAGAAGCAGAGTCACTATATTATTTTCTGGGTGAAACCTTATGATGGTGTTTGGTAGGCAGAGTCTAATTACATGCCTACATCTTAGCTGCAAGAGAGGCTGGGAATTTGTGTTTTGATATCTACAATAGGAAGGTAGAACTCCTGATGTGGGATTTTCTCAAATAGTGAAATATTTTTCAAAAGATGGGCTGTTAAGAATGTAACAACTACCCAGTACACAACCCAGATACATTTCAGGTTTTTTTTTTTTTTTTGAGACAGAGTCTTGCTCTATCCCCCAGGCCGGAGTGCAGTGTCACAATCTCGGCTTGCTGAAGCCTCCACCTCCCGTGTTCAAGCGATTCTCATGCCTCAGCCTCCCGAGTAGCTGGGATTACAGGCACCCACCACCACACCTGGCTAATTTTTCTATTTTTAGTAGAGATGGGGATTTGCCATGTTGGCCTGGCTGCTCTTGAACTCCTGACCTCAGGTGATCTGTGCACCTTAGCCTCCCAAAGTGCTAGGATTACAGTCGTGAGTCACTGCGCCTGGCATATGTTAGTATTTGAAATTTGGTTTTCTCTGGGGATTGTAGCTAGGTTTTTATGGTGAGATAGGATTTGAACGCAATTTTTTTTTGAGACAAAGTCTTGCTTCGTCGCCCAAGCTGGAGTGTAGTGTTGTGATCACGGCTCACTACAGCCTCAACCTCCTGGGTTCAAGTGATCCTCCCACCTCTGCCTCTCAAGTAGCTTGGATTACAGGTGTGTGCCACTATGCCTAGCCATTTCTTAATTTAAAATTTTTTGTAGCTGCGGGGCACGGTGGCTCAAGCCTGTAATCCCAGCACTTTGGGAGGCCGAGACGGGCGGATCACGAGGTCAGGAGATCGAGACCATCCTGGCTAATACCGTGAAACCCTCTCTACAAAACAAAAAACTAGCCCGCGAGGTCCGGCCGCCGGATCCCAGCTACTCCGGGAGGCTGAGGCAGGAGATGGGCATAAACCCAAAGAAGGCCGGAGCTTGCAGTGACGAGACCGGCCACTGCACCACTCCCCAGCCTGGTGACAGAGCGTACTCCGTCTCAAAAAAAAAAAAAAAATTGTAGCATAGGTTTTCCGCCAAGAGTATGGTGGTCGAGGCAGAATCTCAAAACTCCTGGCTCGAGCAGCCCCTCCCAACTCAGCTGCACCAAGTGTGGATTACGGTGTGAGCAACTATGTCCCCCGCCGAACTGAGGTTTTTTTCTTGTCCATAACAAACACTCAGATGCTTTCCATGTACTGTATATCTAGTTCGGAATAAAAATGAGCAAAAGGTTTTCCTGTGTAGAGTGAGTTATATTTAAATAGAATAAACCAGAAATTACTATAGTGCCAATAAAAAACATGAAACAGTGAAACACTTAGGGTGGGGATGGATTCTTGTGTTGAAAGCTAATTAGGAGAGCCAAGAATAACATTAACCCAAAACCTGAAGTGAGAAGAGAAGCCCATTACAAAAGATCCTGAAGAAACGATCTAATACTGGGAGAAAAAACTGAAAGACCAAGTAAAAAAACTTGGAGTAGTTCCATTCAAGAAACCTGCAAGGCAAGTTGGGTTCGAACCAACTTAGGGAGATGGGAACAGGTGAGCGTTTTGGAGAAGCCAGGAACATCAAAGAAACCATTTCGTAGACCATAATAATTTAAGTTCGATCTACAATACAATAAAACTAAAAAAATTTTTTTTATTGTGGCGTGACTTGTATTTGGATCGAATCCAAATTTCTCCTGGTTAAGACCCATCCCGTAAGCATCCGTTTACACCTGACACAAACTTTGGAACTCTTCATAGGTGTTCATCCCCTGTCAGGCATAGAAGCCACTTATGTTCTAACAATCACGATATTCCAGATACAAAGAAAGTATCTCTGAAGACATTTGTAAAGCCCTTCACTTCCCAGCAGCTGTGCAACCCACCAAAGAGTGAAACCATGGCCATCCCTCTGTTACACTGGTGTAACACAGGCAGCGTTCCCCAGGTGGTGGACTCCGACCTGAGGCCGAGCTTTTCAGACCCGAGCCCGGCCCAACCACGCGAGAGGAACCCCCATTTCTACAAAACTACAAAATCACGCTTGAAGTGGGCACAACCGGCCGGTAACTCTCACACCCAGGGAAAGCGAACGCCAGGAAACACTTAACAAGGGAGCGGAGGGTTGCAGTGAGCTGACCGGATGTGCTAGTCCCCCAGCCTGGGCAACAAAAGGAAATTCCATCCAAACAAGCAACAAAAAGCCAACCCGAATTGGTGAAAAAAGAGCGAATTTATTTGAAAGACTGTGATTGACACTGACTCTCGGTTCCAACTTTATTTCACAGAATACAATGCTTAAAAAACAGCAAGCTTGAGTTATCTAGGATGTTGGTTTCCCTGCAGCCTTTTTTTTTTTGTGTGTGGAACCAAGATCTCCATGCTCTCTCTCTCTCTCTCTCCCAGGGTGGAGTGCATTGGTGTGATCTTGGCTCACTGCAGCCTCAGCTTAGGACTATTTAATTAATCAACAGCTGCTATTTATTTTATCCTCATGCCCGTTGCTCTGTAGAGAAATGTCTGCCCATGTCTGTCGGCTTGACAACCCTGACCTTGCACAGAGGCCCAAGTTTCCCATTTGTTTGCTTCTGTTCTATCAGAACTAGAACCTGAGTGCTTATTATAAGTAGAGGACATGCAATGGGGAAGTCATTTCGGTCATGCCAAGGAAACACAACGGGTTCATTTAAGAAATATTTAGTGCTTATTACAAATGGTCAGGTACCGATGCCTGCCACAGAGGGACACAACCATGAACAAGACAGACTGGGCATCTGTCCACACAACCTTACATCCTAGTAGAAGAGAAAGAGGACAGATAACCAGTTATACAATCACACATTGTGATTTGCAAGAAGGAATAATGGCTGGGGGCTGGGATGGTAGCCAGAGAAGACGGCTGGCAAGGGGCCATTTCAGCCAAGAAGCTTGAAGGAGATGGCAGGAGCCACGAGATGAGCTGGGAAGAGCATTCAGGCAAGGGGAACAGCAAGTGCAAGGGTTCTGAGGCTGGAAAGAGCATCTCGAGTTGGAAGACACATAGAAGCCAGCTAAGGCCAGAGCACAATGAATGGGAAGAGGGAGGCCGGGGCCAGATGGTGCAAAGCATCGTGGGCTATGTTGAGGAGTCTGGATCTTATTCTAAGGATCATGGAAACCCATGGGAGGTTTTAAGAAGGAGGATGTGGCTGGGCACGATGGCTCACACCTGTAATCCTAGTACTTTGGGAGGCCGAGGTGGGTGGATCACCTGCGGTCAAGAGTTTGGTACCAGCCTGGCCAACATGGTGAAACTCCATCTCTACTAAAAGTACAAAAATTAGCCGGGCAGTAGTGGTGCACGCCTGTAATCCCAGCTACTCAGGAGGCTGAGGCAGGAGAATTGCTTGAACCCGGGGAGCAGAGGTTGCAGTGAGCCAAGATTGCACCACTTCACTCCAGCCTGGTCAAAAGATCGAAACTCCATCTCAAAAAAAAAAATAACGAAAAAAGAGGAGAATGTGCTGGGACCCTGTTTCTATATTACCAAGATTCTTACAGCCCCTCTGTGAAAAAGGGAGATTATGGGGCAAGGACAAAGGCAGGGGATCAGTTAGGCACAGATGAAAAGTGATGGCACCTAAGTATGTCAGTTTCGTATTGCTGCCGTAACAAGTTACCACAAACGAAGTGGCTTGACCCAGGTTTATCCTGTTACCGTCCTGGAAGTCAGAAGTCCTAAAATCAAGGTGTGATCAGGGCTGCTTTTTTTCTGGAGGCTCTGGGAGAGGATTCGTTCCTGGCCTTTTCCAGCTTCTAGAGGCTGCCTGTCTTCATCGGCTCTCGACCCTTCCTCCATCATCGAAGCCAATGGTATGTCAATTTCAACCCCTAACTCCCTCGTGATGCCGTCAGTCCAACTCTCCGTCACAAACTCTGTCATTCTCCTGTCTCCCTCTTCTTCTTCTTCTTTTTCTTTCTTCTTGAATTAAGCGAGTAATTCAAGGTTCCTGAAATTTGGAACCATTATAAAAAATCTTTAATTGAAGAAATTATATATAGAAAAATGCACAAATCCTGGCTGGCTGTGGTGACTCACACCTGTAATCCCAGCACTTTGGGAGGCCAAGATGAGGGGATCACTTGAGCCCAGGAGTTGGAGACTAGCCTGAGCAACATACTGAGACCCTGCCTCTATTTTTAAAAAAGAAAAATACACAAATTCTAAATGTACTGCTTGATAAATTTTCATAACTTGAACACACTTTTGTCACCATCTCCCTCCCAGACCAAGAAACATAATGATAGGGGAACGCAGAGCCTTCCTCGTGCTCTTTCCCATCCCCCACCCCATCCCCCGGGAAGCCCTACAAACTGTGAACCTACAGAAGAAAGCCGTGAAAGGAACTAAGCTTGTTCTTAGAAATTTTAGTGTCAGTTTTCAAGATGCAGCCCCAATCAAACATTTTTTTCCCCTTCATTATTTAGTTTGAAATTTGGGTCCCCACTGTAAATGGCTTTACTATAAATGG